CATGTACCCTAGAGATCCTCTTCCACGTTGGGGAGTCCGTAAGCTTCTCCTTGATGTTGCCTTTCTTCATATAAATGCCCCTCATAAGAGAGGCCCACAAACCGTTATCATGGTTAGCACGCCACCAAAGGTTTATTGAGTGTACAAGCTGCATCTTCCTCAAATCGTTAATACCCAAACCACCAGAAGAAGTAGGTTGGCAAAGAGACGTCCAGCTTTTCCAATGATGTAGCCGAGCTGCATTCCTAGATCCCCAAAAGAAATTTGCCATCCTTGCATGAAGAGAGTTGATGATTGATGCCGGAATGGTGTGAACCGCAAGTATATGTAAGGGGATAGATGATAGAACATGTTTTATGAGAATAAGCCTTCCCATAGGATTGAGTGTCTTGCTATACCAAGATAGAAGGTGCTTGTCAAAGTGTGCAACCAGTTGATCACAGTGAGATTTTCTAAGAATACCCTTGCAGATGGTTGCACCAAGGTAGCGAAAAGGTAGTGATCCTCCTTCCATAGCTAGGCTCCGTCTCATGTTCGCCATTTGGGAGGCGGGGGTGGAGCCTTTGATATAGAAGCTACTCTTCGAGAAGTTTACTACCTGCCCCGAGTCCAACGAGTAAATGTCTAGAAGTTTCTTTAGCTTGAGAAGGTTGAGAGTGTCCCCTTTAGTGAATATCATAATGTCATCCGCATAGGTGAGATGGCCCGACAACTTAGCACTACCCAAATTGAAGGGATGAATATGGCCTTCTTCCATGCTTTTGTTGAGCATTCTGGAGAGACCTTCCCTTGCAATAATATAGAGTAGGGGTGAAAGGGGGTACCCTTGCTTGACACCTCTAGTCATAGGAAAAAAACCAGTGGGCTGCCCATTAATAAGAACCGAAAGCATGGTGCCTTTAAGGTTAGCCAGGAGAAGATCAATGACTTGTCTAGAGAATCCAAACTTCATTAGAATAGCCTCAAGATAGTCCCAACGAAGTGTGTCAAAGGCTTTAGCGATATCAATCTTAATTATCATGTTTCCACCAAAGACTTTTCTATCCAGGTTGTGGGCTGCTTCTAGCGCTAACAGGATGTGATCTGACATGCTCTTACCTTGTTGGAAAGCCGCTTGATTTGGGGAGATAAGCTTAGGCAGTAAGGGTTTTAGCCTGGTGGAGAGAACTTTGGTGTTAACCTTGCTCATGCCAGCTGTCCAATTCTCCTAACTAATTGTCCCTACTTTCTAGCTTAGATATTTTTGGTTTGTTAGGCTAGATATTTTTGGTTTGTTAGGCAGCTCAGTATGGTGTGTATATATATACTTTGTTTCCTTTTCTCTGTGACGACGGATCAGAATATGAAGCTTGAATAACATTTCCATTTTCTTCTTCCCTGAGTTCTTCTCTGTTCTCTTTCTGTTCACAACTTTAACATGGTATCGGAGCTGAATTTGTGTTATCATTTCCGATTCAACCTGAATTTGTCAAAACTCGATTCCAAATCAAAATCTGATTCGAAGGCATGGCGGAACCAGTGACTCGTTCTTCAATCGATCCACAGAGCGAGCTGTATCTACATCCAACGGAGACGCCTAATTTCTCTCTTGCTTCTCAGAAGTTGAATGGCGACAATTATGCACAATGGAAACGATCGGCTGAGATTGCTCTGAGTGCGAGAAACAAGCTTGGATTTGTGGATGGGAGCTCGAAGGCACCAGAACCGAATTCTCCTCTGCTCAATCAGTGGAAGCGATGCAATAATCTGGTAATTTCTTGGATTTTGCACTCAGCTGAACCTGGAATTGCAAGTAGCATTTTGTATTATGATACTGCACATGAGATATGGGAGGATCTGGATGAGCGATTCAGTCAGACCAATGCACCAAGACTGTTTCAATTACATAAGGAGATAATTACACTGGTTCAAGGATCGGACTCTGTGAGTGAATATTTTACTAAATTGAAGGGGCTTTGGGACACTTATCTGACTATGGTAACTTTGCCTCACTGTATATGTGATGGAGCTGAGAGCTATTCCAAATTGCTTCAAAATCAACACCTGATGCAGTTCTTAATGGGACTTAATGATTGTTTTAAGACAGCTCGAGGAAATATACTGATGATGAGGCCTCTTCCGAGTGTGAATCAAGCATATAAACTGATATCACAAGATGAAGTTCAGAAAGATTACACCACATCCACACCAGTGGTC